TTATGTGTTACAGCATGGAACCATGATGTAGTTAACTGAGAAGTTTTGCCACTCACAAACACAAAGTACTCTATAATGTCAAAGTGAAATAAAAAAATCCATACAGTACATTGCATATCCTTTGCTGGACATGCTCTCGCTTATAAATTATCATTAATGAAATGACTAGGCAAACAACCATTTGAAACCAAGTTTATGTATTAAAGTTTCTTTAGGTCACTGGTGTGTGAACTAAGTTATTTGTCCCCAATCTGGTCTGAGCCATATTACTGTATGTCATTTAGCTCTAATATAGAACTAATAATAAGTCTCTCTTTCACATGAATGTGATATATTTGAAGCATACGATACCATGACGAGTGTCCTGCTAACTTTAGGCTGTCTATACATTCTCTCTCATTTCGTAGTCTAAGAAAAACAAACTATATCAGATTTAAATGATTCAACTCAAGGGAAAAACAGCTTTCAAAACGTCAATACCAACTGCCCCTAAAAAAATTGATTCTTTATAGACAAACCACTAACCCTTAAACTTTCCATCTGCTTACAAAAGAAACTGAGTCTTCCTGAGGCCAAATTCTAGTGCTGGTATAGTCTCCCACAGTCCAAACTGGAGGAAAAAGTGCCACCTCCTACCCCCATCAACAATTCCAGTAGCAGCTCAACTCTTTTCAAAAAGCACCCCTGCTCTGATCCTGCTACAGGTCAATGGTGTGTTTCAGTACATCTTCAACGGGACCTTAAAAACACAAAGTTACCAAGCAATCTGTCACCACTGGGCCTATTCTCTTAATTATCCACATTCATCCCCAAAGTCTGTCAGCTGTCTCAGCAATTGCTCTGAGGGAAGAAGAGCCAATTAAATTCTCTGCAAGTCCTGTCTCACCCAGGATGTCACAAAGTGTTTGACGTCTTATGAATTATGAGAACATGCAATTGATTTAAAGTGTGTAGAAATATATATACCTGTACTGTATACGCCCACCCACCCATGCATTTTCACATCTAAAAAATTAACTATGCAACGCAGATAACTGGTGTAGGTATCGCACAAGATATTTTGACAAGAGATAAGTCGATTTTCACCACAACAACAGAGGTTTGTCTTATGCTCTTTTTGATGGATTTCATCTATTAAGATTCTACCACACAACCATTTTGCATGAATCAATACGATTGTGATCAGGAAGGGAGAAAATCCCATTCACTCTAATTACAAATTGCATTCGGGGAAAAAAAACAACAAAATACAGCACTAAAAAGCTGTGGCCCTGTCTAACTATCTCAGGAGTTCAGTGTTAAAGGGGATGAGCAGACATGGGCGTTGCAGATGAAACACGGACACGCAGGCAGACAGTCACCCGTGAAGAAATGCAGACAGAGAGACAGAAGATTTGATTTTGCAGCCACACACAATACCTTTTCACCCGGCGAGAAAGCAGCGATGAAGCAGGAGCAGGCCATAGTTGGAGCACAACAAGGTTTTGCAGTAGTGAGGCCCAGGCACTCCCAGTTCCGGATGACAGTGCTGCTATCCGCCCAACTTTCTGCAAATGAGCAGAACATCCATCAGAGAGGAGAGAGACGCAGGGGGCAGTGGCTGTTCTGAACTGACTTAATTCCTTTCCTTTTCAGCCTGATGTTTGTGTGAGGTCTGAGTACTTATTTTTTATTATCCCTGCCTGGTAAGTGGTACCATTAAGGACTCAGAGCACATCTATCTGTGATAGCATCAGGGATAGGGAGAGTAACAGTATCTCTTACACAATAGATTCACCTCTGCAGGGGAATGAGAAGGATGTGCAGTAAAAATATCTTCAACAAGTCTCCCAGAGGGGCAATCACAATGCTCTGAGCCTTTATCCTTTGATATTTACATAGAGTGTTGCCCATCCCCCTATAGAACAGGAGTCCTAACTCCTGTCCTCAGAGTCTGAAATCCATCAGACTTTTTATCAATCTTTAAATTATAAACAGCTTCAGATAAAGTCCTTTGTGATAGGAGAAAAATAAAGGCAATTGAGTTGCCTTTAAATGTAACTCATAGAAATAAATGCAAACCTAAACTATTAAGAGAATACTGTGTATTTTTGCTTTCTTGTATCAACTATGAAATGTTGCATCTATTTAAAACCTAAAATCAATCTCCTCCAATGAACAGAATCCTCACTAACGAACATAAGGGAAACCCCTCCAATTAGAACAGTGCAGGTAATTGCTGCTAGATGAAGGAGTCCTAGGCTGACCTCTCTGTGGCCTGAGAATTAGTCTTTAGGGATATTTCAGGTTGGAGCAGTGAAAAAAACAGAAAAGAGTCCTCAAAAAATCCAGCAAGCACAAGTTCGCGAATCGCATAAATGTTTTCTAAACATTTTGTGGGCAAAACGACAATGTGTTAATTTTAAGCTTTTATTACACAGGATATTGTTATTATCCAATATCCTATAATGTTATCACTCTACTGCTACTACACTACTGCTAATAATATTTTCCTTACTCTTA